AGGCAAAGACACCCCGGATCTCAAGATTTTCGAAGATAACCAGTCGTGCATCAAGATGACGAAGAACCCCGTGAACCATGGCCGCGCCAAGCACATCGACATCAAGTACCACCACATCCGTGATGAAGTCAAGCGCGGTGAAGTGATCGTCGAGTACTGCGAGACTACGACCATGCTGGCTGACATCCTGACCAAGGGACTCGGCGGACCTCGTCACAAGGACTTAACGACGGCTCTTGGCGTTGAAGCGTGTTCGCATTGAGAGGGGCTGTTGCAGGTAATCCAATACGATCCCGCGATGATTACGGTAGGATGTTTACGCCACCGATGATTAGACGAGTAGGATGATTGGACGAGTACAGAGGGTTGGTGATTGGATGCACCAAATGATTGGATGCAAACTAGGTAGAGAAGACAGTGTAAGTTCTTATCAATCAATCACTTCTGAATTTCCATTCTGCCCCTCAAGTGACTTCCCTCGCCTCGGCCTCCTCGCCCCAAGCTTCGGCAGTCCTCCCCTCGCAAGACACAAGATCCAACCATCACCTTCTTCAGTGGCACCTCCAAACAAGGGTTCCTCGACTATTCGAATGGACCCCGCGTTGCTGTACGCCAGGCTTTCCCGTAATTATTGAGGGTTGCTGGTCTTGGTACTGTGTACCAGTTGTACCCATTAACCGGTCAACCTGAACCGGTCCAATACGATCCCGCTGTGATTATGGTACGTTGTTTATGCCACCAATGATTGGACGAGTAGAATGATTGGATGACCTAGGTAGTGAGGACTGTGTAAGCCCCGATAAATCAATCACTTTCGAATCTTCCTTCTTCCGCTCAAGTGCCTTCACTCCGGTCTCCGCACCAAGTGCAGAAGTCACTCCGTTCAGTCCCAAGCTTCGTTCCAACACCTCTACACCGTTAACAGGTTATGAGCCCAAGCACCATGTCCTCTGCCCATGACGCCTCGACCAAGGTCACCATCGACTTACGCTTGAGTGAGCGTCCAATGCCATTCTGCTGGAATCCTCCCTTCGGTAAGCCGGTAATGTCCGCGAGAGTATTGAGAATGTCGTACTGCTCTGCTGCGTCGTCGATCACGAGACCCACAGCGTCTCCCAGTCGACCTTCGGCAATGATCGCGGCTGGTACACGCGTCACAGATTCCTCATGTAAGTGGTAATTGTCGATTTCGGGCGCTTGGCCGTGGTCGCCTACAATGACCACGATAGTGTCATTGAGGAACCCTCCTTTCTGCATACGATCCATGAACTTGCCAAGCTCCATATCGGTAAAATACCTTACTTTCATGTACCTTTCGATCCTGTCTGCGTGTTCCTCGCCTTCGTACATGGCTGAAAAGTCGGGCTTTGCAGACTTTTGGTACCATTTGGGCCATGATTTATAAGGTTCGTGACTCGAAATTGTGTAGTGCGTGACAAACATGGGCTTCTTTGGCTCCCCACGCGCCATTCTTTTTCTTTGCTGCTTCAGTTTGTTCAGTAGCAAGTCGCCTACAAGTCGAAAACTGACGTCATCATGGACACCCCAGCCGAGCCCTCGGTGTTCACTGCCTCTCCAGTCATCGCGACTGATATTGAACTTCTCCTCCGCCATCCACTTCATCACCTTGTCGTTCCACACATTGTCGTAGCCATGTGTAGGCAAAAAAACATTCCACGCATCCAGCTTTATTGACGATCCCGTGGTGAAAAATGTTTCATAGCCTTTTTGAGAGAAAAGTTGGGGCAGTCCTGAAAGCTTCGTCTCATTTCTTCCTCCTGTGATCCCACTCTGTGTGTTGCTGTGGTAAGGAACTTGCGCAAATAACAGACTTTCCAGAGACCGACTGGTCGGGATACTGGACCAAATATTGCGCATGGCGACGCCTCGCCTCGCCCATCGGTCGAAATTCGGCGTTATTGTCAAATTTGTGCCTTTGAACAAGTTTGACGGGTCTTCCTCTCCCACGAGGTACCGCGAGTCTCGGTACCGGAAAGATTCCACTCCAATGATTAAAACATTTGGCGGATTGTCGTTGTCAATTGTGACGTTAAAGGCTAGCTCTCCTTTGAAGCCTGTGGTGCGTCGGTACAGTGTATCATCTCCAAAGCGCTCGTGATCTTCGGCCTTGTCGATGAACTTCTCTACCCACGGTCCATCCCCGATTAGGTTTGCAAGTTTAACCTCCATGGGGGCAGGTTCGAACATGTGGAGAAGCAACTCGTTCAGTGTCACGTTTAACGCTGTGTACGCCACGAGCGGCGAGCAAGCGCTCCGGGCTACCACAGCAATCGCAGGTAACACCACAAGGCTCAGGATGACGACAGCAACGCGTACCAGTTGAAACCGAGTAGTTGAGGCTTTGATCCCAATGTTTGAGGCTTTATCGCCATCTTCTAGAGAAAGCGATTCGTACTTGACACCTGCTTCACCTTTCTTGAATGATTTCCCAATTGTTAGGTTAGTCACGGGATTCAGTATTAGCTGCGTCGGGTTCCAGAGTGCCAGATTAGCCCACTTAGCCCAGACTCGCACCAATGCGAACATGGCAGCAATAACAGCGAGATAACCTGCAGTCACGTAGGCTGCTTGGACTTCGTCACTGGATATCGGAGCGTCTTTGAGATGTTCCCTCTCTCTGATCAACGTAGCGAGGAGACTGAACGAGAATCGCATGTCGCGGTATACCACCAGCACCATATCAGCTATGAAAGGCGCCATCATTGCTATAAACAGCAGCCACGAGACCGTGAAATTAGCAATCTCCCCAACAATCTCCAACGGCATCCCGCTAGTTGTTTTTAAGCGCTCTAACGCCACTTGCTTGAGAGTATCGAACGTCCAAAGCGCAGTCGCGAAGTACGTCGTGCACACGAAATCCTCGAGGAATCCAAGACTTAACGCTGATATCTTGACCACCACTGTGTAATCCGTGGAACTTCCGTACATATTCACTAGAGTTTTGAGAGCGAGACAGCGACTGGTGGAGAAGTAGAACTGAACGAAAGCGTAAACGAAGAGCCAGCCTAACCACGGAAGAGAACGTATGTCCACCGCTCGGATGCCCTCAATTGACCACCTCCATTCTTGAGTATCGATTTCATTCGGGATGATGTGCTCGTCATTTTTAAATGGCCGTATTTCTGGAAAGCGAAGACGAGTTGAATTAACGTCACTCTGATGGCGATGAAGCCGTGCGCTTGGTTCCATGGAGGTTGCTCCCACACACACACTGAATATTTGTAAGTGAGATTATGGTTGATACGGACTCCGTATTACGGAGTTACAGAACAGCAGCATATTAAATGTAATCGACGTGACATACCCTCCTGTGACAAATATCAAAGCATCACGCATCCAGGTACATGGGACAGATGTCATAGAAGGCACCATAAAACCTAAACGAGGTTTTACCAGCAATCTTGAAGTAAGTGTGTCAAGATTACCAGCTGTGCATTGTCCCCATCCCACGCTCCATCGGAATTAATATCATAGTACTAAAAAAAACGTAGTGGTATTTAAAAGAGAGTGCTATACCACAAGATGAGGTACTATAACCACAAAATGAGCTGCTTGGGATTTGAAAATTGGTGGGACAGAGAAGTATACATTCTTGGTCGGAAACTGTGCTAGGTTGTCGACCTTTGCTATTGTCTCTTGGTTTTGCTTGTGCTATATAATGATAATCGGAGAATGAGGAACGAAAGTCGCAATCGCATGTCCATAGATGGGTACGTACGTATCTTTTGGGTTTTGCACGTTTTGTACCTGGATTTCAAATAATCCTGGTCCTGGATTACGAGTGTTCTGTCTCACAATCGTCGGTCGTGAGCATAAATCGTAAACTTCATTTCTAAATATGTAGGCGTATTTAAAACAACAATTATCATTTAAAAATTAAGAAAAAGAGATTTATTTCATCGATGGCTGAATTGGTGCTTTTGATCCCTTAATAGCGAGGCAACTCTTCCGAATATGTGGCACCGCGGAAACACAATATGGCCCGATGATCAGATGCAAAACGAACTGGAGTGCGATGCTCGGCTCACTGGAAGGCCGGCGCTGGGCCCGATACCGCGTGCAGCTGCCTCGCGGGGCTACGCCGCGTACATGTATTAACAGCCTACGTGACCTCGAATCTACTCGTCTCGGTTGATCTTCTCCATCTTGATTTGCTCGATTTCACCACCTCCCTCTCTCTTTTGCGCACGCCATGTTAAATGGGTTAGCGACCTAGACCATTTCCCGATCGCGAATGGCCCGTTCTTGTATGATCCATACATGGAATCGCACCTTTAAATTTTTGTCTTCGGTATACATGTACGTTACTAATAAGCAGCTTTTGTATTTTGCTTTTAATACGGGCTGACTGAAAAGTTTTAAATGGCAGAGACTATTGACATAAGGGAAGGAATGGGTGCCATAAGACTGCAAATCTTAAAAAAAAATGCGTGACCCTCCAAAACTAACTTCCTGGACATATACCTATAGGGCCCAGCCATGCTTGGTCCTAAGATTTAGCCCGCACACGGATCTTAAAAACCACATGGATTCGTGTTGCCGAGCGACCCTATTTCGTACTTTATGGGGAAAACCCGTCGGCTTAGGCTCGGTCTGATATCTGCCCCACAATAGCGGGATGGGATGCCTGCAATTTCGAGAATCCGCAGGACTTCCAACCCGGTGTTATAAACAGGAAGGAATGTTTTATGGTGTGGCCAACATATACTATATAAGAACATTGACTGGAACAGCGGCGCAATGCCATCGCGTGAAGACGCGATATGCATAACTTTGCTGCTTTCGTCTGTACTACCTAGACCCTTACGAGCACCCCAGACGGTGCGTGCGAAGATCAAGTGGGATCGCGAGCTTAATCTGCTACTTGCCGAGAGTCAGTTTCAAGCGTGTTATCGGATGTCTGCTATTGCGTTCAGGGGCTAGAGCAGATTATTGCGCCAGAGCTATTGATTTCGCCGCATGCATGGGTGAGACGGGGGTGGATCGCCGCTGATAATGCCTTGCAATTGACGCTACGCTTTTTAGCAGGAGGTTCCGTGCATGATATTAGGCGACTTGCTGGTATAAGCAAAGCTTCGTTTATCGGGTTGTTTGGCTGGTAATTGAAGCCATTAATGGAACAGGAGAGTTGCGGCTTTCGTTTCCGTGCTCTCCTACAAAACGCGAGGCAAGTGCTGCTGCATTTAAGTCACTGAGTGCAGAGGGGGTATTTTCCGGCTGCGTGGGGTGCGTCGACGGGTGGTTGTGTGCCACAAGAGCTCCGAGGCGGAATGAGACTGGCGGTGTTGGGCCCCAGCGCTATTATAGCGGGCACTACCGACGTTATGGTGTTAATGTCCAAGCCTGTTGTGACTACCGATGCAGATTTACTTACGTTAACGTTGCACATCCTGGAAGTTGCAATGACAGTCGTGCTTTCCAACAAAGTGCACTGAGCGGGCAGCTCGACTGCATGGAAAGCGGATTTTACTTGATTGGTGATAACGCGTACGTGTGCGGAATGAATATGCTGACACCATTTACCGCAACGAGGTGACGAGTCCCGATCGGGATGCATACAATTTTTATCTATCGCAACTACGAATTCGGATCGAAATGTCATTTGGTTTGCTAGTTTGCAGATGGCGCATTTTTGCCCGCCCTCTACTTGTTTCTCTAGACCATGTTTCACATGTAGTCAATGCCGCTGCCCGCCTGCACAATTTCGCGCAGAATAGCTTCTACGCTACCAATACAAGTTACGATATTGTGGAGGAGTGAATCAATCAAGGTTTAGTGAAACGTCATGGCAACTCGTTAGTCTCGCTGCTAGGCTACGAACCTTCGACAACAACAGCAGAAGTTGCAATCAACGGGTTCATGCGTGAAGCGATGGTCGAAAAGGTTGCGCGCTACAATTTGCGCAGGCCTTCATAGTGTACGGTTGAAGTGAAGAGCTGGTCGCATAATTACAAATAGAGCTTGAACAACTACTTGTAAATGCAAAAAGTAAAATTCTTCTCATAAATACAAAAGAAAATGATTCTCATTTTATATGTATTCTTCTTAATCGGATTTATCTAAATCTTCAATTCTCTGAACATAGAGCTCAACCTTGTTCTCTAGACGAGTAATCACCGATTCACGCAAACCAGCTTGCTTTGCTGAACACAGTGAGCTTGTCAACTTCTCCAACTCAGCGAAGACTGCGGTCCTAGCTTGCAATTTCTCTTCTATTTCTCGCTCTTTGCTGGAGCCGAACCGGGTCTCTAGGTAACTGATGACGTCGTGTGTCTCGGCTCGACGCCGTTTAGTAGGGGTCCTCTCGTCATTAGTGTCACCTCCATCATCGTCAATCAACGTGTCCAAACGACTGCGTTTTGGAAGGCTGCCCACCGCAGCATCAAAAGCTTGAGGACGTACCGTTAACCACGTGTTAACATACAGCGCTTCCAACTGCCCCGAGCAAAAATCGTAAAAATCCGTTTCGTGCGTTCCTGACTGGATAGCACGTGCATGTGCTGATGCAAACTTTAGTGTAGCGTCCTTCCAAATCTGCATCAGCTTTTCACTAGTGTGAGGCACAATATGGTGCGGATCCATCCCTTTGAAGCGGCTATCTGCTGAGACCAGGCGGCCATACTCTGGGCGGTCCTTGACATACTCCACTGCTACCTGTCCCCAGAAGGCATTACGGCCACCAATAGCTCCAGCATCTAGCTCACGTCGGGTCGGCTGAGCGCCCATTAAACCAAGTTGCTCCACAAAACGATCACTAAATAAAACATTTAGCAAACGAAAACAGCAGTGTCGCGTCTTACGTGTAGTCACAGCAGCTGCAACCACAGTAGAACCTTGACGCTTGTCACGCTCATCACGTGTTGCTTCTTCACTCTCTCGCCGGGATCGAGCTAGCTCCACAAGTACGTTTTCGTAGCCGAGTTTGTTGTCGAGGTTAGCGGTTTTGGAGCGAACTTTTACGTGGTAGATTCTGCAAGCACTGCGCAGCTCTTTCGCGGTAACTCCCGTCAAGAAAGAGCGAATTTCCTCGTCGTTGTCCCCATGTAGCGGTTGTCCAATCCGCTTCACGATGGTGGTGACGGGTTCTGTCGTCGCCATGGCGGCGGTTGCGGACAGGTGGCTCGTGTCGGCGGTGTGTGCTGCTGCTGTCAACTGTGGAATAGACGATTGGACTTGAGATGAGCGGGATTTGTGTATCCCAAGACCGTGCCACACAGCGTCCCAGTGGGACGAGAAGGGGTGTCAGCCCTACAGGCCATCCCAATATCCCGCAAACTAGATCGCTGATTGGTCCATCCCTCTTTTGGGACGATATAAGACTGAGCCTTATAGGGATTTCGGTTATGTGTGTAAAACACGAAAGACGTTACAATGATCCCATTGGCTGGTATCGTGCTTCGTCCTATCAGTTAGTGACATTTTCCTCTGATTTGATACATACAAAGCGACTGTTACCAGGGGCTAATGGTAACCAAATATCATATGATATTTTGATAGTAGTAGTACTATGTTCGGTATTAAATACTAATAGTAACTCAGTTTTGCAAAAGCTAACATAATATTTTAATATAAACTCGGAGAGCTGAAAAACATTAGATACTACATGATATTTTATGCTATTTTCCCACTTAAGTACGTTTCTTGCCACCTGTGAACCGAGCGGAGCCAAATAACTTTTCGATCAGGTTCTAGAAAAGCAGTAGGCTTTAAAATGACGAGTATTTGCTCTGGTATTTCACTGTGACACCGACAAAGGCGATCGAGATGGAAAACTGCAAACGCTTGCAGCTATCTAACGTTGATAGAGCGATATCAAGACATTTGTTCTTGTTCTCTACCGATCTCCTCGTCGACATCGTGCGTCTAATAAACCTGCTGCCTGTGGCGCTAGATTAATCCACTCAGCAGTGCCAACACACGACGCCAAC